CTGGCTTCTGGCAGCTGTCAGATGGAGCCCACGGGGACCTCAGTGTGGACTTCTTAATGTTATAAATCAATTAGTTAACTGTCCTTCAATAGCCGTGCGTGTGTGTGTGTGTGTGTGTGTGTGTGTGTGTGTGTGTCTGTGAAAGTTACTGAAGAGTGGACCCAGGGACTCTCTACCACTGAGCTGAACCCCATGCCCTATTTTTTCTTTGAGACAGTCTGGCTAAGTTATTAAGGCTGGCCTCAAACCTGCAATCCACCTGCCACAGCCTCCGAGGCTGCTGGGATTACAGATGTGCGCTACCATCGGAGCACCCAGCTCAGTGCCCTGTTCTTCATATTCCTTTTCTTTTATTTTATCACCTCTCCACACTGTTAACRTGATTGTCACTTTTAATAAAATCCACTCCACTACCAAGGGTTTAAGACCCCTGTGATCTGGCCTCTGTTTGCCTCCTCTATCTCACGCTCCCCATGCCCCAAGTTCATAGCCTTCCATCTTTCCTGAAAGACCCCCCCAATATTTTCTGCACATATGGCCACTTTCTCGGTCTGATTTTTACTCATCTTTCAGGTCTCTGCTTAAATGGTCAGACCTTGGGGCTGGGTGGTGGCTCAGTGGCAGAGCACTTGCCTGGCATGTGTGAGGCCCTGGGTTTGATTCTCAGCACCACGTATAAATAAATAAAATAAAGGTCCACTGACAACTAAAAAAAATTTTTTTAAATGATCAGAACTTCTCGGATTTAGCTTTCTCCATGATATCCCCATCCTCAGAATTACTCTCTCTCATGAYATCTTCTCTTTTTCTGGAGTAACATCATTCTTTTCAGTGATTATCTATTTCTCTGTCTCTTGCTAAGACTCTCTGAGGGTGGACCTCTGACCACAGCTCACAGATGTCCCCAGGGCCTGATGCACCCAAGGCACCCACTAAACATCTTCTCAGGGCCAAGTCCCCACTGCCTCTCCGGCACACCCTGCCCAGCACACAGTAGGGGTTTGGTCAGGGTAAGCTCCTTTGTGCTCCAGGTGGGGGTGGCCCATGCAGACCCCAGGAGGGGGACAGGCCTAGGAGTGGACAGGCTGACTCCTCAGCCCCAGTGTGGGCCTCGGTCCCCCACGCCCAACCCCATCCCAGAACCCAAGGTTCTCATGGTGCCAGTGGAAATGTGGGTGGGCAGTGGGATCCAGCCTGGGCCGGGTTCCTTCCCACTTCTTCTGACAGGGGTGAGTGAAGTTGGTTTGGAAGAAAATGTCGTAGCAGGAAGACAGTGCKGCCATTCAGCCCTGCTCGCTGCCATTTGAAAGGAATGAAAGTGGGATTAACCAAAAAAACAAAATCCAAACCAAAAGCCAAACAAAAACACCCTACTGTTTTAGAATCTGCCTCAGAAACAATCACTTTCTTGTTTTCTGTGTCATGATAAAATTATATGTCCTCACCCGAGCTTTGTTCTACACTGCGACTGGTCTACAAAGGGRCTGGTCTTGGGGAACAGTTTTGCAGTTACTAAAAAGTCCTTCTCCTTTCCAGAGTACCTGCTCCACCCCGGATGGGCAGGAGGGGAAGAGTCTAAACAACTATTTGAGTCTTTCTTTTTTGTCTCTCTCTCTCTCTCTTTTTCTCCCCACCACCACCC